TATAGAATCATAAGTGTAACATTATTATTAATCATACCTGTTGCTCCAAATATTAAGGCAGTACGATTCATATCTGTCGTATTTGACATTTTTTTAAAAAAAAAAAAAGAAAAGAAAAATCGCGTAATTTTATAGTCCAAAAACAATGAAGTGAGGTCTTACAAAAAAAAAATTAAGTGACTAGTCTGTGACGATTTGTTGTACCTTTTTTGAATTTCCGCATCTGGATGCTGCCAAATATCATACCAACCATACATTGACTTAAATCTTTTGTATGAGGTAGTATTGTACTATATTTGTATTTTACTATATAAACATCAAAGATATCACATTTTATAAAGGGCTTCTTTCAATATATGGGTTTTATTATAAAAAGTGGAGCTAATTATTGTTGCTGTTTGTCGAATCAATACAGGCAGACTGCTTGATGTCAAGCCTTGTGTAAGGGGTCACCAAAGCATTTAAAACTTGAGTTTTAATGATCAGTTTCTGATCATTAAGGTGGTGTAAAGTGATGGGCCAAGCATCATTATACTTTCTTTAGGCTGCTAACTATCTCTTTGACAAGCGGGATTGCATATTTTCGATATGTCCATTGTTTTCTGTCGAATGACTTTATGAAAGCGGATAGTCACTGCTGTTGGAAGACTATACATTAAGAAATAAATCCAGTCAAATGCACGTTTATATCCACCTTTAACATTTTCCATTACACCTGAGAAGGTCGTTGGGACAAGCGGGCATGACGATCTCAACAGAAAATTGACGCTTTGAATATCCTTGTTTATCAAGCGCAAAGGGTGCTGATATCTTTTGTCAATGGAAAAGTCATCCATTGTCATTAATCGTACAATTTGTAGCCCGATATTGCAACCAAGTAAGTGCATCAAGTCTATTGGGGAAAAAAAATGCGTCGTGAGAGCGCTTCAAATCAGCAAACGGCGTAGGAAGCTTTTGACCAGGATCTACATCTGTCATCGTAAACGGAGCCTTGGTTTGATACGCGATGGAACTGGAAGGAGAAAAAATATTTCTTTCTTCGATTCTGACAGCTTTGATTGTGCAGCATCTACATCCACTGAGATGAGTATGCCCCGACTGCCCAGCAAGCTTTGCACGTGTGGGAGTATCACCACCAGCAAACAGCAGATGTGCATTAACTGTCATACCCGAACCAGCAAGTTTGAAACCCTCACGTTTTAAGGTCATTAATTCTTTCATGATGGGCTTGACGAAGGAAAAGAAGTCATTTGGCGACGTAGGACCAGGAGCAACACATGCTTGCAGTATGTACTTACTTTTGGTACGGATCACTTCTGGTAACATAAATAAATAAAATTTCTTTTTTACCTCTTTCTTCTTGAAAAGAAATAAACTATTATGGTGATTTTATAAATTCCTATTCTACATGAAAGAACATGGATATACTCTGGTCCCAGAGTAAGTTTAACGCGATATCACATCTTGAAAAGTTTTTGTTGACGACACAAACAAAAAATAGAAGTTAAGTACAGGCAAATGTGTGGATAACGAACTATTCATATTTGGCTTACAGTGTCAAGAAGATCACCCGAGCAAATCTCTCATAATGGACACAGAAGATTTAAGCTACATTGAATACTGTATCTTTACTAAAGAAGAACTCGATAAAATCCTTATCTTTGAAAAGAAAAGGCTGCCTTTGCCTCCATTACATGTATTAAAGCATATGGACGAGCACAATCTGAAAATCAACCGCTGATATCCGTTCTGCTTTGAAGAAAAATCACACTTTTGAAAATAGCCCAGATAAAGACATAGATTGGGCCAATTACACAGTGTGCAGTTTATTACGTGAATATGAAAGTGGGAATATGGAGAAGCACCATTCCAAAATATGATACCAAACGCATACCTGGAGAATGATAGAGCATGTTTTGATAAGTTTGAGGTTTTGGAAGCAGCCGTTGGTGAGCCAATGAGTATCACTAATCAAAAAGAAAGAACCAGAAGAGGACTATCGGCGGTATCGAACCGATGGCTAGAAGGAGCATGGACCACAAATGCGATTCTGCGTTTAGGACATATCAAGTACAACATAGCAGAGGCTTTGAGTTTGGTGCGACTAAAGCCAGTTAAATACAGTGATTCTTCGCGACATATAAAAGACGCATTACACAAGCTACTACAGACCCTGAGAGATATACTTGACGACCTGATTGAAAATAAGCCAGAACTTTCAGGATCTTTGCAAACGGTCGGCTTCATTCACTCTGGCTTAACCAGTATCATGTTCTAAGTTGACAGACCTACGGCATATGTAACCCACGCTACAAGACACAAAAGCATTGAGATTAGCCGCTCAATTGGCTATTATTTTGCCGTCAATGCTGTCAGCCTGGGTATACGCAGAAATTGTGAATCAGGTTTTTACCTCGCCATCTGAAGAAGCAGAGAAGAGATCTTCTGCAATTGTCGAATAGTACCATCATTAAAAGAAAAGAATACGGTTATCTTCATTCTCTCAAGGCTTTTGAACTTGCTGTTCAATGTACCTCGCTTCAAGGCAGAGAAATCATTGATGACTGGCGTGTTTGATATGAATCATTATTATGCTTTATAATCTTATGGCAGAACATATATTCTACTTTACATTCTTCTATCGCATCTGATGAGAATGCAAATAACAGTGCTGACAACATTGATAAATAATCACATTGACAACATTAATACTTCCTATAAATCACCCATTCAAATCAAATTTAATAAATAATTTAATTTGCAAGCCATCGACTTAGTTGACCATTTCAAATATAAAGCTGAATACAACAACGACGAACGTACCATATATGTCGAGATGTTTGTACCAATATTCAGATACTTTACCCTTATTCCAAAGAAGCTGGCTTTCACATGGCCTGAATAAGCAATGAAGTACAGCAGCTTAACTTGGATAACAGATAGCGATTTCACCAAAAGTGGTGTTAACAAGAAGCTTCTTGACGGGATTGGTGTGATAACAGAAGCGGACATCAGTTGGCTTGTGATTGAATCATCTGGATTCTTCAAAGAACAGAACTACAAACACAGCATAGGAGATTCGATAAAGAACATAAAAAATGGTACTGGCTCTTTGAAATTCATAATGTCTAAATACAAATATACACCCATTACTACAATAAAGGAAGTGAAAATTTATTTCATTCAAGCTATACAAACAAAGATGCCCTTGGTGTGCTACCAACTGAAGAATGGTCAAAAATGGATTTGTTATGAATGCTTACCGGCGGAGATGCCATTGTTATGGTCAAAGAGAAGCCTATTGCTTCCTGTACTGGAGATGTTTGGCTTTTTATATGAAGAATTAATTCAGCAAGAAAAGGCTCATGCATAATTGTTGAAGGAAAGCTTGTCTATCTTTTAGTGACATTTTCAGCAACGTCTTAAAAATCACTAACGTTCTTGACGACAAAACTGTAAATGGATTCGCTAAATGGCGCTGTCATAAGATATTGAAGTTGATGGAAGCCACGTCAAAAAGAAAAATGAATGAAGCGGGGGGGGACTATAACTTGTCCCTTTTATGTTGTTAAGAAGAAGTTTGTTGATAAGAGCCATTTTTTCTATTACAAATATATATATATATGTGTGTGCTAAGAATATCACACAATTCTAGAATCAATTTTAAAAGATATAACAATGCATTTGCCCAGGTATCAAGCTAATCTAAAGAAGATGAAAGAATCTCGGTATGAAGTAATTGGATATGCGAGAAAATCGAAAGGCGAAAAGGAGAATCATTATTAGTTGCGGTAATGGTTAAGCTGAACTCTTCGAGCGAAATGGCTATGTTGTCGAAACGAAGACTAAGGATATGGTGGCTCCCCTCCCATGGTATAGAAAGTTCTTTTCAAGCCCACTCCTGCCACCAGTTCTCCACACCACAGACGAACGCACTGTTGGAAAGATGTAAAGAAGAATTTTTTTTATTTTATTATACAAACTGGAAAAATAGCACCTACAGCAGCATCAAAGAAATTGCTATAAACCTCATATTATCCAAGAAAAAATTGTGTTTTTCAGGTTTCTTTATGCATTTATATAAGTTCTCTCATTCTTATCTAGCAATTCTTACAAAATCACTCTTCTAGTATATATATGTTAATTTTTTTTAATTAGTGTAGTCCCTTGCACTGTACAGAAAAGGCGATGAAAACGCTAAAAAAACAATCACACAGTAGAACTTACCACAAACTCTGGTGACAAATAAAGCTTTTAGCATAAGTTCCTTTTGGGCATAATCATGTTCAGGAGCTTAGATTGTGGACACAATTATCCTGGCTCAGAAAAGAGTAACATAAAGGACCATCTTGCTTGAAATAAATAATGTTAAGGTTTCATAATGTAATCGTAAGCCATCCAGTACCAGGTGGCGTCACAGCTACTGCTTTCAATTACCATCGCTTAAACAACAATATGGTCCTCCATGTCCTTGCTTCTGTTTGGCGATACCCTTGGGTTCATGATCTTTGGCAACCAACCCTTTTGCTCTGCGATAATACTTTGTGACTTTCAACGCTGTGCCCAAGTATCCATTCAAGAAGAGCTATTAACCTCAGGTATCTTCCCGTTTCCGCTCCCATATGTTGTTCTTTAAGTCTACCTCTGTGTTATCAAAGCTGTCAACTTTCCACATAACCCATTAAACCATGAAGTGACCATTTTATGGTTCTTAATAAACTCCGAGTTACCTTTGGTGCTCCTTACAAGAAGAAAAAAAATTTTTCTTATTCTTTTTCTTTTTTCTTTTTTCTTTTTTTTTTTTTTCCACAGTGAAAACAATAAAGGTAAAGTAATAAGTTTGTTTGGAATAAGCAAGGACATGATGAATATAAGCTGGCACCAGTCCGAACATTGAATGAAGGACAACGCAAAGTAAGGATGCCATTTATACGCTCGGCATCCCTGAAAAACAATGCTTATCCAAACTATAAATGTCTTGAAGAACACCTTTTGCTAACCTACCATCTTAGGACAATCGATGAATGTTTTGTTTAAATCTATTTATAATAAAATTTTTATTGACAAAACTTACAAGTGTTACAAATTTCGATCCTCTTTTTTTTTTTTTTTTTGTCTGTTATCATGGTTTCGCCTTGTGCACCTAATGAGAAATCATATAAAATAACCAATCGTGCTAATGAGTACTTTGAAAAAGGACTTTATTCAGATGCTATTGCAGAATACACAAAGGCACTTAAGCTTGTAACCGAACCTTGTGATGATGATTACTTAGCCCTAATCTATACTAATCGCAGTGCAAGCTATTTACAACTCAATGAGTATGAAAATGCCAAAGAAGACGCATCTCGAGCAATGGCAATTGCTCGGCATTGGGCAAAAGTATTTAAAGTATAAATACACAAATGAATTTTATTGACAGTTATTTTAAGGGGTACTTTAGGTACGGACAAGTACTCTTAAAACTATCAAAATATGATGAAGCCATCGAATACTTTAGACAAGCGTCCACTTTAGTAAGCAAAGAAAAAAAAAAAAGGTCTTTATAAACGTCGTCCAACATTGTTTTCTGTAGGATCCTGAAAATAGCAAGAATATATCGCTGTTTATTACAAAAGCCCTGATTGATAAAGATAATGATGCAATGGGTATCAAGATACTCCAATTGGTTACAGGAAAAGACATTGCAGTAGATAAAAATATGCTGAATCCTATTCAAAATAAATTATATGAATTTGCTTCACACATGAAGAACATCATTCATGTCATTGTAGATATTAAATCAAAACAATGTATTCTTGTAGACCCTGTAAGTTGATTTGATATAAAAATGAAATCATGTATGCAAACAAAGTTAATCTGTAGTGCTGGGATATAGATGGTATCTTGAAGTATGTCCATGATCAAGGCTACACTATCGTTGCTACCGTTGTTACTCATTATCACTTTGACCATGTTGGTGGATCTCCACCTGCCCCATATGATGCATTTTTACCCATTAAAATCTCGGGCCTATCTCACCTGTTGAAGAAACTGCCTCATATTAAGGCATATATTCATCCTCTTGATATTCCTTACATCCACGGTATACAAATGAATCGACTTGTTCCTACCTGTACTACAGCCATTACGTCTGAACTAAAGGTCGGACACATCCATATTCGTTTTCTTCATACACCTGGTCACACTCCTGGGTCGCAGTCGCTCCTGATCAATCAATCACGCTTGATGGCCGGTGATACTTTATTATGCTGCGGACACTGCGGTCGAACTGATTTACCTGGAGGAGATCGGAAAGCAATGGAACATACCTTACGACATATCCTTGGATCCTTGGATGACCGTATCGTAGTTTATCCTGGCCATGACTACGGTACGACTTGGTCTACTATTGGTATCGAAAGAGAAAATGGTTGTCTAGGAGATGACTTGGTAGGATTTGGTATGCGATAAGCCACACAAAAAGTCATAATGAAACCCTGCACTACGCAAACACCATTTAGAGGCTAAAAAAATAAACTAAAATATAAAGAGTATAAAATATTTCTTTCTTTTTTTTTTCCTTCTTTTTCAAACTTTAGAGAAAAAAAATGTCCTCAGCACCAGACGCAACAGATGAAAATGTCGAAATTTGGAAGATGAAGAAGTTGATCAAAAACCTTCAGATGGCCAGAGGGTAAAAAAAAAAGTTTTTTGCTGCATATATGTTTACTTATAGCTATTAGTAATGGTACCTCGATGATTTCACTTGTTATTCGTAAGTGATAATAGACATATTGAATAACTTGGATAAAATATTCACTAATAAGCTATTAGCTCCCAAGGATCAAATTTCTCGTGTAGTCAAGATGTTGGCTGATGAATACGGTACTGCCTCTAATATCAAATCTCGTGTAAACAGGCTCTCTGTGTTGTCTGCTATTACTTCTACACAACAACGTTTAAAGCTCTATAACAGAGGTGAGTTAATGTACTGATAAAAGAAATAGTAGCTCATGCTTTTTAATAGTTCCTGACAACGGATTAGTCATTTACTGTGGCACAATCATCACAGATGAAGGCAAGGAAAAGAAAGTGAATATCGACTTCGAGCCACATAAACCTATCAATACTTCACTCTATTTGTGTGATAACAAATTCCACGTCGAGCCTCTTGCTGAACTCTTGGATAACGATGCCAAATTTGGCTTCATCGTCATGGATGGTAACGGTACCTTGTTTGGTACTGTGTGTGGTAACGTACGTGATGTGATCCACAAACTTACTGTCGATTTGCCCAAGAAGCACGGTCGTGGTGGTCAATCCGCCCTTCGTTTCTCTCGTCTTCGTGAAGAAAAGCGACACAACTATGTGCGAAAGATTGCTGAATTGGCCGTCCAGTTATTCATCACCAACGACAAGGTCAACGTTGTCGGTTTAGTCTTGGCAGGTTCTGCTGATTTCAAGAACGAATTGTCGCAATCCGATCTCTTCGATCCTCGTCTTCGTGCCAAGGTTGTCAAGATTGTAGATGTTTCTTATGGTGGCGAAAACGGTTTTAACCAAGCCATTGAACTATCTGCTGAAGCCCTTTCTAATGTCAAGTTTATTCAAGAAAAGAGATTGATTGGTGATTACTTTAGCGAAATTTCTCAAGATACAGGTAAATACTGCTTTGGTGTGGATGATACCTTGAAAGCCCTCGAGATGGGTGCAGTAGAGACATTGATTGTTTGGGAAAACTTGGCTACAAACCGTTATACTCTTCGTGATGCCTCGGGCGCAGAGGTTATTGCTTACCCTAACCCTGAAGAAGAAAAGAGCAAATCTTTCTTGGCTGATAAGAGTCCTGAAGCTACAACCAATGCAGAAATGGAAGTCATTGAATGTATGCCTCTTTTAGAATGGTTCACACAGAAATACAAGGAATTTGGTGCCAACTTGGAAATCATCACAGACCGATCTCAAGAAGGTGCACAGTTCGTTAGGGGTTTTGGTGGTATCGGTGGTATTCTTCGATACCGTGTCAACTTTGAACAACTCAATTATGAATCAGATGAATTTATCTCTGATGATGATGAAGAATATATCTAGAGTTTGTGTTAATTGCGTGTGTGCGTGCGTGTATATATTATACAGAAAAAAAGGAATTGTTGAACAAAAACAATAAAAAATAGTCAAGTGTCTATTTGTTATATTATCGTAAATACTTGGAAGAATCGAGCAACATAAAACATACGTCATTTTATTTTGACTATTATTTAATTTATAAATGATAAAGTGGATTCTCTATAGCTTTAATAATAGTATCTGAATTGTGATGATTCCTAAAAAGCTATCATGAGTATAATACTCGCAATATTTTGTCCTCCGAACCTTTTCTTCTTTCCCGCATTCAATGGAAGATTGTAAATCCAGCTTACAATTCTGTCTATATAATAGATAACTTGTCAACAACGAAAAAACACTCCCTAAGAGGCCACAAGCTAAATTGATGGAATTGCCAAAGTCTACAACTTACTATTAGAACATGCATATTTTTCATAAAAGGTCGATTCAGCTTACGATAATAGGGTCCATCACTTAATGGATAAATATATGAAGCGATCACCCCTCCTGTGCATCCTACCATGACAACGACTGCTACTGCTACTGCACGAATTTCCAAGTTTGGAAAGTTGACTGCAGACCAGCCGACAGTGGCAGAGGCTATGCATATCACATGTAAGTAAAAGATTATGTGATGACTACTTTCATTAGTTACATTGTAGACCAACACCAAAAGGAATAATAAAGAGTGCACCGTACTTCGCTAAAGTCAATTTAGATCTCACAGCACACTTTAGATGATTTAACACTTACCCCATCGATCTTCAAGGATTTTTAATAAAAGGAATCCAAAGGCACCTATTGCGAATCCGCTCGCCATAACAACGCCTCTTTTATTGTTGTATCTATCTGTTAGATATCCGCCAAGCAAAATAGCGAATGCTTGAACTGCACTAGGTGGGGCAGATAACAGCTGCGATGTCAATACGGGGAATCCGAACCCTGATTTTGAATATATTAGAATACCCCATTCATGCATATATGCATTATAGCCTACCATCAATGATGATCGGTGTAAATACTTGATAACTCGTAAAGTTGATAGCATTTAGTATATAAACAATAGCGAAAAGAATCGTTTTCCAATCTGCACATGCCTTGATGACCGTTTTCACATTGACTTGTGCATTCGTTGACTCTGTTTGAGTGTATGACTTGTGTAATGCCTTTTGTTCATCTGTCAACCACGGAACGTGTTGAACGTCGTCAAATAAATAGAAATAGGAGATAACACTAAGGCATATAGTAGGCACTCCTTCCAGAATAAATAAATACTGCCAGCCATGCAGGCCCTTTTGTCCCTCAAGAAAGGAGGTGCCGTATGCAATCGGGCCGGAAACAACACCGGATATAGAAGACATACAGAGCATCATAGCAACACGTAACGTGAATTGTCTAGGCTTGTATACTTTAGACATCAAATAAAGAATGCCAGGAATGTATCCGCTTTCGGCAGCCCTACAATTATTTCCATTTAAGTATAAAAGCTCTTTTCTTCTTGATCTATTTTACCCAAGAAACAGTCGACATATGAGGAGACTTTGGAAGTTTTTTGCGAATGCCATAATAAGTGTAACAAACCCCCACACAAACATAATAAACGATAGCCACATGACGGCATTTGTACGTTTTAAGATGATATTGGATGGTACTTCGAATATGATCTTTTATAATGTCAGAAAGATGAATGGACTGTTATCAATGTACTTACGTATGTAATGTAAAATGCAGATATAGCCATGCTCAGCTGCTTTGGAGTTAACTAAATAAAGAGAGTTAGTCCCCCTGAATGCCTCTTGTGTTTATCAGTTGCTTATTGTACATTCAAATCTACTTGGATGCCTGCTAAACTGTAATAAAACAGATAAGCATATTTTCAGTTTTCGTAATGCAATTTTTTTTTTTTTTTACCTAGCATTTCCAATATTGGCACGATCTAAAAAGTCTACAAAATAAAAAATACAGAATAAAGGCATCATGCGTTTATCAATGATGCGCGTAATGTTCTTTTCCTCTTTTTCAGCATCATCAATACGAGACATAAGCGCTTGTTCATGACTGAAGGTTTTTTCAATGACGATGTCGCCAACGAGGGTTTTTGAAGCACTTGATCCTGTCTGAACGAGATTGATTTTGTCGCCTCCTTCGAGCATTGTGTCTGTATTGACTCTTTCCAACATATCTAAATAATATAAAGAAAAAGAATAAAAGAAAACTAAATAAAGGGACCCTATTTTAAACAAAAACTTGCATTATGCATTTAGAAAGCATTGAACCCCTTTTTTTCTTTCGTGGTGAAATTTTAAGTCATTTATTCCCTTGTTTCTATTGCAACTAACATTAATTTATAAAAATCATAACGCATGCAAGAAGAAAAAAAATTGAAGCAACATCTTTATATGAATTGAAATGCACAGATGAAAATAAATTAGTCTATAAATGGTATTTCTTAAAGTTCGGTTTTGCTATCGGCTTCTAGTCTCTTCTTCTCTAAGATACAAGCATCTTGATATCCAGGGATCCAGCCCAGTAAAAGTCGACCTAAACCAGGCTTACGTACACGAATGAACCAGATGGGAATAGCAATAAGTCCAATGATAATACAGATAATGTACTGATATACACCAGCGGATCCAGCATCAATAAGAGGCGCAATAACCAAGTAAATGTCAATGATGACAAAGAAAATAGCCAGAGGTAACCACACTTTGAATGGTCTAGGCAAATCTCTAGTCTTTTTCTTGAATCTCATGAGAATTAATCCAAAGACAGCAAATCCGTAAAAGAGCCATCCAGTAAAACTGTACATTTTGGCCAGATAAGTAAAGTCGCCAGGGATACACCAGATGGTGGCAATGATACCAACCAAGATAAGCGCACGGATCGGGCTGTCACGTTTTTCACTAAGCTTACCAAAGAATGGTGGCATAAACACACTGTCTTCATTAGCAGCAGCCATCACTAAACGAGAAGCACCCCAGATGTTTCCATTCACTGCTCCAAAGGTAGAGAGAACGACCATGACAGCAAAGAAATAGGCACCACCTGTACCCATAGCTACACGACCAAGCTGCATAGCAACAGTAGATGAGGTGGCTACAGTCTGGATTGGAAGGGTTGCAAAATAGGCCACATTACCAAGTACATAGACTGTAGTTACGAGTGTACAGGAAATGAAGATAGCTAATGGTAGGTTACGCTTGGGGTTCTTGACTTCGCCCACGCCATAATTCAAATTGTTCCAGCCATTGTAGGAAAAGAGAGCCATATACATTGCTGTTCCATAATCCAATGCATTACGAGAACTGCCGTCAAACGCATTTTGAAAGTTTTCTGTATGTCCTTTACCGAGCCATACCCAGCCAATGATAATGATCATAATCAAAGCAATCAGTTTTGCAAATGTAAACACATTGGCAACCAAGGCACCTGCACGTCGTCCAAATGCATTTAAGAGAACAACAACCCAAATACAGCCTATGGTGACTAACTTGAGTGCATAGTTGGGCATTTCCACAGTTGCTCCAGTAAGATCGTTGGGATCGAAATAGGCCATTTGTAGAATATACTGCGCAAACACTGTGGCGATGGATGCTGTGCCGATTGGATTTGTCAATAATAAATTGGACCAGGTAAATGTCAAACCAAGACAGATGCCATAAGCTGATTTCAAGTATTGATATTCACCACCTGATTTTGTAATCATTGTGCCTAATTCAGCATAACATAGCGCGCCAATCATACTTAATACACCTCCTACTGTCCAAACCAAGAGGGAAGGAGCTACTGCTCCAACCTTTAAAGTCACAGGACCTGGAGAAGCAAAGATACCACTGCCGATAATCAAGCCTACAATCTGACAGCCGATAAATACACATGAAAAGGCTATAGATAGATACCTACCATATTACAACTGCTCATCAATCCCATGTGTGGCTCAACACCGTTATGTGCTTTAGGCCCATCTGCTTCAATAGTATGTAAGCCTGTTTCAATTGAGGTAATAGAGTTCTTCTTTTCTAATTGTTCTCCAAAAGATGCAGATGACTCTGCTTTATCACCATGGTATGTGCTCATGGGACCTTTGACAAGCAAATATAAGGGGGAAGCTAAAAAAAGAGAGAGAAAGAATCAATGATGTCGAATGACTATTTTTTTTCTAGTCATAGAAAACTGAGACATAAAAAACTTTTTTTGAATAGGCGATCCGATTTTGACCACTGCTAACATAAAGAATAGGTTGCCTAGAAACGTCAAACGTATCTTTCTATGTTCATTTAACCTAATGACCCCCTATTCATCCTAGTCTCTATCATTTCCACAACTATTGTGAGATTATTCATATATTTCTCACACTAGTCGCACAAACAATCTAGTACTGAGCTCCATTAAGGTTTACCAAAACTTCGATCTTGTCCTACCTAAAAACAAATTATCTGCAGCTTGGTTACCTTTATTCATTTACATACAAAAAAAGATCTCAAGTACTATCATTCATAAGCTATAATCTACAAATTGACTGAATCAAGGTACTACAAGCATATTGTGATCAAGTATACCAAGTTGGACAGATTCAAGCATGTTCATTTCATTTTAAAAAAAGACAACCACAAGTTGGTGTTGTCCAATTAAAAAACGTCTAAAAAGATTTACTTTCCTATTCTGACCAATTGCAAAACACTTGTAATGACTAAAATGGAAAAATAAAATAGCTAACTAAGCGAAAGGAAGCGAGTTCTAACTACTTTGCTTTTTGAAGCTATTTGATAAAAATTACGTTAGAATGAATAGTCTATAGTTAAAAAGGATATCTAACTGTTGGGAGGGAAGGGTATAAAAGCCTTTAGTATAAACAAGCCTAATACTTGCTCTAATGTTAGAAAAGAGAGACACGTTTGATGACAATTGATTGAAACGATAGTACAGCAAATAAGCATTCATGCGAAAGACAAAAATGGATTTATTAATTTTTATCTCTATTACCTGTTTGATTTTGGTGTTTCCCAGTTGATTATTTTTTTAAAGAGACGCTCCCCTTTTTTTTTTTCTTTAATGACAGACTCAAATGAACACACTGAAACTGAGGCCACATCACCTACTAAAACACCGGCACCTTCGTTATCACAACGCCAGAGTACTTTATTAAAGGCTAACCGTAGATCCAACTTTTTTTACCGAAATTTACAAAATGAGCCACCCATTGGAAATCCAGAGAATTCAGATGAATATAATGCTCGATTAAAGCAAGAATATGAACAGCTTCAACTAATCAATCACACTCTTGAAGTCATGATTGATGATTTCCAAAAAGTAGTAAACACACAAAAGCAATTAGCGCGTCATGTTGATGACACAGATAAATTACTGGATGTTTGGTCAACGATTTTAGAGACAACTGAAAAATATAAAAGATTAATAGAAGGCCCTACTTGGGAAAAGAAGGAAGAGAATGGACAATAGTATAATCTTTTTTTTTTTTTTTTGATTATAATAGATTAGTATACCTAAGAGAGAAAAATCCTTATTTATTTAATAAATAATTGTATATATATACACACACTAAACAGCAGAAGCAAAGCAATACTTTCTTAGGATGATGACCAAGTCTTTTTGCATAAGTGGCTTTGTAACGTAATCATTCATACCAGCTTTCAGACAATTTTCTTGGGCAGTAATTTGTATATCAGCTAACAAAGAAGTTAATACTTTTCCTTTTTTAATTATTATGTTTACCTGTCAAGGCAATGATTGGCAACAGTTTATCATAATTCATCTTCTTTTCATACGCTCTAATCTTTTTCGTCGCTTCGATTCCGTCACAACCAGGCATATGATGATCTATCCATGCCAACGAAAAATATCCTGGGCCCCTAGCCTTCCAAGTGTCAAAGCATTCAAATCCATTATTACACGCTTCCACAATGAAACCAAGTTTTCCTAGTTGCTTCATGATGAGCTTTTGAGCAATTGAGTTATCTTCTGCTACGAGTATCTTTTGTCCCTTGAATAATGCCAATTCTTCAGGTGAAAATACTTCTTGTGTTTGTCTAGCGGTGTTAAATGTAGCCATTGGTTTTTCCTCCACTGTATCCACTGGACGGACAGGTTCATTTACTTCCACCTTTTGTTTTGATGATCCTAGTGCACTAACTAGGGCTTTCAATAGTTTTACTTGTCTTACAGGTTTCGATATACGCGTAATCAAAGGATGAAACAAGAAATGATGCTGAAGAAGATCAATAGATGGCTTGGGCGAGATGGTGGTGCGTGGTATGTTATCAACGACAGGCGCGATGAGAATCAATATACGTGTATGCTTTAAGCTAGGAGTTGATTCAATCGTACTAATCAGTTGTCTAAGCAGGTCAGGTGAAGGAGCATCGATAATGATGCAGTCATAGGCAGCGTTGTTCTTTGCCTTTTCAATAATACACTGAGTAGCTTCTTCCAATGTGTACATGTGATCTAACGATAACCATGGCAATGACGCCTCTACCATTTTTTTCATACGCTTTTGACAAACCATCAAAATGCGTGGCTGATGAAGCTGCACCAAAAGATCATTAATAACCTTACAACGAGGATCTCCATCCGGTTCAGCAGCGACGGTATCACCATTTTTAACCCGTACAGTAAAAGAAAATGTAGAACCTTGGTTGACCTCAGAATCGACCCAGATATCGCCTTGCATTAACTTTACTAGCTGCAGACAAATGGATAGACCCAATCCTGTACCGCCAAAGTTTCTATTTTCAGTTAATATCTATTATGATCTTTTTTTTTTTTTTTGCATTACCTTGTAGTCGATCCGTCAACTTGACTAAAAGGCAAAAACAAGCCCTTCATTTCTTCTTTAGACATACCTATCCCTGTGTCCTTCACAGATATTTTTAAAGATATACTACCATCCCCGTGCTCTTTATCTAGGCTGCAATGAACAACAACTTCACCATAATGCGTAAACTTGATCGCATTTCCTACTAGATTTAACAAAACCCTAGTCGACAGGTAAATACAAGCTCTATCACTTTTGTAAAACTTACTGTCCAATTCGATTGCCGTCAGCATAGATAATGGGTGGAACATCTTTGTCAATATAGTACGACAGTTCAACATTCTTGTTCGCCGCTAGTGTGATAAGCAGCTCTAGTCTGTCTGCAATGATATCTTCTACATAAAATAGACCATAATGCAATTTGACGTTGTGAGCTTCAAGTTTTGAAAAATCCAACAAGTCGTCAATGATATGAAGTAGCATTTCACAACTCTGTTTGGCAATAGACACAAATTCACGTTGCTCAGCGTCCAGTCGAGTTTCACTCAACAATGAAATCATGCCATAAAATCCTGAGAAAGGCGTTCGAAGCTCGTGTGCTAAAGGAAGTCATGGTTATTAATATATTATGCTGTGAAGATAAAGCTTACACATATTGGCCAAAAAGTTTGACTTCATCTGGGTCGCTCTCAGCGCTTGTTCACGGCTTGCTTTGGCTTCTTCCAGCGCCTTTAACTGGCTTTCGATCATCTGAGCGTTTGTCTCGGTGGCCTTTTGTAGAGATTTGAAAAGAAGGGCGTTGGTGATCGAGATACCGATCTGATCGCAGAGGAGCGTGAGGACGTTCAAATGCTTGTGTGTAAATGTATTGATGTTAGCCTGTAAATACAGAACTCCTACCAATGTATTCTTGTGTAAAATAGGCATACACATCACCGCGCTCTTTGTGATATTGGTCACAAAGCGTGGGTCATCTTCCACATTTGGTATAAAGAGCACCGAGTGTGTATGAATAACATAGTTTACAATGGAAGCTGAAATGCTTTTGTAATCTTCCAGAGGAAGAGGCGGGTCATATGTCTCACAGCATGAGCGTGTAGAATAAGCGGCAATACATAGCTGTCTTTCTTTTACAATGATTGCACCAGATTCAGCACCAGAGTTTGACATGATAATTCCAATCATTTTCTTCAATAGCTCATCAAATGAGTTCATTTCATTTGATATGACTAGACATTAAGAGAAACTCATGTTTAATAGGCGCTTAAGCGGGCAAGGCTTGTTCTTACCTTGAGTGCTTTTAATGATTGATGTAAGATCGACCATATCTAATGAAAGTAAAGTCGTTTCTGAAATTTCCCCTTCTTCTGCTGACACAGTTATATCGTCATTATTTAGGATGTCATCTCGTAAAGAAGGATCTGTTGCTGTCTCATCACTGTGATTTTCCCATATACTGCCTTCTGCTACGTTGGTCGTAAAGCCAACAATAACATCTTCCGTTTGTACTTCACAATCTCGTCTCTTAATTGACATAGGCTCCAATAAATGACCGTACATGTTTTGAAGGTACTGTATCTTGCCAAAAGCCCCCCATTGACGATAGTAATCAATAGACTTGGTGAGTGAGGGGATGGCAACCATGTCTAATTGGCAGCGCATATAGTGGTGAGTCATGAGTTCATGGATAAATCCCAGTACAGATACCCAGTTATCAGCTTGTGCGTGCTCTATAGCTCTGTTATAAAATACAAGCGTGGCTTGCAAATCATTGTCCAATGTCGATATTTGTGCACACTATAAAGAGCAGCTTAATTATACACATCGCTTTGGGATTGTTTTCTATATTTACAAGTATTTTGTAGTACAATCCATAATTAACGTATGAATGAGCAGCCATAATATTAAGCTTTTCTTTGTAGCCTTCGAGCCTCATCTTGTACTTTTCGCGCGTTTCAGGATCTAGATCAGGTTCCCTCATGCATTCAATAAGTGAAAGACTGTGATAGTACATAGCAATGCCAATATGACGATACCTGTCATTGATAAAAACAAGGATTAGACCCTTCAACAACCTGTATATTTATATGATTTACACTATTTGACCAGCAGAGTCATCAAATATCTTTTCTCCAGTTTCCACTGCTTCTCTAAAAAACCCAAAGTGAAATAAAAGAATCATCTTGAAGCCATAATGCCTAATATATGACTTAATATAACTTCTATCCTCGATCACCTTTCTCTCTTTTACCAAGTTAGCGCATTTCCAAGACCCTGTGTTTCCAAGTCGTTCACATACGATATTTCATCAAAGTTTTCTGATTCGTTCATCATCGTGTCCGGATCTACAACTGAATCTGTTCTTCCCTGGAACACCAATATGGAGCGCCAAAGAGATATATTTAATAGCGTCACGTCTCTTATTCCAGTTCTTTTGGATGTATCCATAGATTTCTTTAAATGCCAGTGAATATCCGAAAGATTACGGCTTGTCCAATAATAAGTAACTGCCACATGAAACAAAGCAAGCGACGAGAAAAGCTAGATATAGTTAGCACCTGATGGCGTCTAATTTTTGTTTTCTCTTTACCTTATCACCACCAGTGACTGCATGAGCATATGCCTTTTGGAACTGTTCAGCATACGTCTGTAAAGGAACCCCTGCCCACTGAGCCAGCATGGTATGATGAATAATGATTGCCCTAGCAATCTCAGAGTTGCCTGCGTACCTTTCAGCAACACTCAATCCAAATTTCCCTAACTCTGCTGCAAAGCTAAATTCAGATTTTCTTGCAGCTGTGCATCCTGCCCAGATAAAGCCTCCTCCACTAGAAGGGGTATAGCCTGATTTGAGTGATAGCTCACATATCTTGAGACCAAAGCAATCAGCAAGGGTCGGATCTATCAGATATGCGCCAGTGCAGCCTTCATTGAGCAAAAGCATAATAGCCGATTGCTTAGGATCTGTGCAATATTCTGATCGGTTCACCAGAGCATCAAAGCCAATGTTATTTACGATTGTCTTTATCTGCTCATAAAAATCTGCTGCTTTTTCATCAATAGTTATGTCTAATTCCCTAAGTCCTTTAAGTATAATGTCAACACCTTGGCGGTAATTTGTATTTTGGAAACAGGCTCTAGCTTGCATTCGCCATATTTGTGCACGCTCATATGGGCGGTTCTCTGTATGTGTTAGGATCTCGTCAATCATTTCCTCTCGTCTAGTAATATCAGTATCACTATCATTCATCAGCTCCAGTAATCTCATAGACAAGTTCAATGTCTCTTCAAATGACGCATCTGGGCCATCTTGCCATTTTTCTCTAGGAAGCAACGAAATTGCGCAATCGTAATAGGCAGCAGCAATTTGTAATGCGCCCGAAAGGGTTGCTTCATGACCTGCCTTTGCAAGTACCTTACGGTACCGCCTTGTTTTTCCACTTGCCTGCAATAGGTTTGCGCTTTTTAATAGATGATCAGCTACCCAATACACTCTCCCGTCTGATTCTTCTTCATCTTCCTCGTTTTCTGACATAAGTATCTGTCCAATTTTAAAATGCATTTCTTCGCGCTGTTGCTTGCTTGTGATCAGCATCGAAGCGGCTTGACAGTATCGATCGTGAACAAAGCAAAAGTCATCACCAGATTTATATTGTATGATACCTTCACTCAACGCGGTCTGTAGACCACCCATGGCATTAAATTCCAAAAGCGCCTTAATCTTTGAAAAATTAAAGACGTGACCCATGAGACTTGCCCACATGAGCAACAGTTGAGTAGACTTGTCCAATGATTTCAAATGAGAGACTAACTGTCTGATATCAAATATATCATGGTGCTTGATGTTATCCAGCCGGAACTTCCAGCTCTTGTCGTTCCAGTCGAACCAAATATCACCTTTTCTTTTCATAATCTTTAAAAATTGTTTGGCATAAAAGGGGTTTCCTCGCGTCCAAGTAGTGATGAGATCAGCAAGGGGACGCGTGGTATCAAGCTGATCTTTGTCGTAGCCGCCGTAAAATGTGTGTCGAACGAGTTCTTGTATTGCACTTTTTGGAATGGGGTTTAGTTGAATAGTCGTGATTGGGCGTTCCTGACAGCTATTGAGCATATCAATGACGGTCTGTGGTGTTTCGTTACCATCTCTAAACGTGAGAATGATCAACATGGTTGTTTGTGAAAGAATAAGAGCACTAATCAAACGAATAGAAGGTTCATCTGGACGAAAAAAAGCATGGTTACAATATGACCTTTTTATTGTATGCCGTATGTGTCGTTACCTGCTTCTTGTAAATCATCAAGGCACTATGAAAAAAGGTATTAATAACAATTCATAAAAGTCATTTCATTCTAACCAGTGTAGTCATCTTTCGTCTTGCAATAATCTTTATAATGTTGAGGAATACCTGTTGAAAGAAAAGGAGGCTGTATTAAATAAAACGATGCTTGACTATATAACAATAATACTATACAGAATGAAATCTTATTTCAGTATTCAAAATACTTGATAATGCATCATCATCCACTGGCCTCATTTTTTCTTTATATCCATACAGAATAGGCTTTAGTTCAGGAACTTTACCGACCAGTAATCGCACATTGGGAAATTGAGGTCCAAGGTTGTCTTTTAAGTCCTTGTAGAATTCCTTCACAACAGATTCTGGTTCTGTCAAAAGCTGCTTCAGTATAGATGATAAGCAATGTAATAGACCATTGTAAGGACTTTTCTGATTTCTATCAAACTTGGCAGTGGCTATATATCCTGCAGGACGTGCTTTGTTATGGATCATGGAAGCTAGCGTGGATTTGCCGATGCCACCAGGGCCCTTCAACACAATAATTTCACATCCGGCTCGATTTATCTTTTTGATCTCTTTCTTTGCACTTTCTTGCTGATGTAGCATGCTGACACGCTCGACTATCGAATGAATAATCTCCTGCTCCTTTTCTCGACCGTATATGCCATCTGCTACTTTGAACACAGGATTCACATCCTTCTGGCCTAAAGGGAAAAAGATAAGTGCCTATATCAATCCTTGTAAGAATTTGAATAAAAAAGTGCTCAGATTCTATTATACCTCTGTTTGGTCCTTCAGTCTTCTTTGACATTCTAGTAAATCTCCTTTTAGACCATACGCACTAGCATATCTTTCATCTACTGCCTTATAGTCCAAATGGTTAGAATATGCATTCTTTTTTTTTTTCAAATACTGCTGTATTTTGCTTACTTTTCTAGTCAATTTATCGATGATAAGGCTAATCACTGGGGGAATATCTTTTCTGATGGTGTGAACAAGAGGGACATTCTTTGAAAGAATTGATTCGATAATGTCCATGGCTGTTCCTTCAAATGGTGCGCGACTAGTTAATAATTCGAAAAAGAGTATTCCGAGAGAATAGAGGTCTGTACGATGGTCAAGCGCATTGGACGTTCTACCCGTTTGTTCCTAAACTCAGCATGAATTTGTGTTATTTTTTTATTCTTTTTTGTCTTTTTTTTTTTAACAACTTACTGGACTTATATATGCAAGAGAATATTGAAACTCTTTGGTAGAATACAGTCGATGGTTATGTTGCGATGATCCTGAGTTATCTTGTGATGTCTGTGAATTGTCTGTCATGATGGATCGCCAACGAGTGAGTAATAAGTCTTCGTAGGATTTCAGTCCACCTCCAAAGTTCCAGATCTTGATCTCTGGCTTATTAAGCTCATCGTTGAAGCGACAGTGAAATGATGACGGACGTAGTTCACCATGGACTATTGAACTTTCGTGTAAAAACTGTAAAGCTGAACAGCATTCAATGGCGAACTTTAAAAACATGTCTAGACTGAGTGGTTTACATTGTGAATGACTTTCACAAGATCTCCAGATGGGAGTGTTGTTTGGTAAAGTGCTGATTGAATAAAGACTGTGATAGTACTCTCGAAAGAAGAGGTAGTCGTTGGGTTGAATATCTGTATAAAGTAGAGCAGCTAGACCATCTTGAGCTAAAGAGACGTATTCTACAGCATTTGGAATATGCTTTGGACAGATAGGATGAAGTCTCTTTGTTAGATAATATTCTCTCTCAATTCGAACCAAGTGAGGTGATATTTTTGCCAATACTGGTTGATTATCTGTAAGTCTAAGCGTACAGGGGTGGGTTAGATATATTATGGTGTTGATAGCAAACTTGCCTTTTTCCAAGACTAATGGCTATTAAACTGCCAGCACCAGAAAGCTCTATCGGTTTAGCAAAGATATAGCTTGGTATTTTTAGTTCAAAAGTATCATAGTTTATGTCAAAGTTGCCAGAAGACGCTCTACGAGAGAAAGACTTGTGCTTTAGCTTTGCTTTATTGTCTTGCTTATCAGGCATATATTATATATATGTATATATATGTATATATGTTTAAGAAGGGCAAAGAAGAGTATAGAAAAATAAAATAAAAAATAAATGTGGGCGCAATGGGGCTCCCTGAGGAGAAGGGGGAGATCAAAAAACCAACTGTGAAGGGCAAGAAACACGCACCCGATGGTTGATCACACGAATTTCCTGATTCGGATGGTTGTGCCGAATCACTGGAGATTAATGTCTCCGCTGTTTACAGGATCGAGACTTTAGTGTAACAGTCTTGCTAATGATATGTGAACCATAGTTTCATTTTGAAGAGAGAGTAAGCTTAAGGGGTTTCATTCTAGATTTCATTCTCGAGTCTTAAGTTATAAAGTTTGAAATAACCAACACGTAACTTGCTAATTCATTCTTTTGTGGTAAAGTACACGCGTGTTCAAGTCATTCAGGCACTTCAAAGCTGAAACATGACGAAAGAGAGGGAGAGAAAGAGAGAAAAAATACAAGAGCGACCCAGGTTATGATGATAGATGAGGATATGACATGTTTAGACTTTTTTAAATGATATTTATGTATAGAGATGAATGTATCGTCATGTCATGTACTGAATGTAACATATATCTTGATGAAATTCGGAAATAAGTTTAGAAACACTTTTTATGATTAATCAACATTACACGTACTAAGAAAAGAGACCAATGTGAATTGTCTACAAAATCATTTATTATTGGAAGGTATTCACAGCCATCAAAAGCAAAA